GCAAAAATGGGCATAAACGTGGATAAAGGGACTTTTTGAAGGTCGAGTATCGTACGATCAGATATTGTGTTGATCCCTTTCTCCCCGGTTGCCTCCTTTCCCGTCCAAACAGCCCCTTTTATATCCCTCCAAGCTTCTCCCAAGTTGATATCCCGTTTTCAGGTATAGTATACATTCTATCAGGAAGAGGGCACTTCTTGCCACTTACTGAAGGCCACGTAAGTCATCTACGTCAGCAACATCAGCTCCATCTCCCCGATCGAATAGCTCTGCTAGCTATGAGATCGATAGTTCAGTCTCTCGAGGTCCCCGAGCCAGTAATAGCTATGCCGGACTCCTCAAAGGATCCCCGTTCGAATAGGAGATACTCCGGACCCCTCAGGCCTCAGTGGTCCAGGAAGAAGAAAGAACAGTCTGCAGACTTCCCTTCTTACCTGGTTTCAAGCTGTATTACCTAGAGAGACCTAGAGACCTCAACTCGTTCGGACCTTCTTCTCGACAACTTCGTAGCATTGCATTAATTGCCAAGTCCCCGTATCGCCCAAGTTGAAGCTATTCGCTCCGCTTTTTTTTGCTATAGTCTCGTGAAATCATGGAGTCTCTTTTCTCTCGCACCTATCCCTCTCTTTCGGCCACGCAGGCAGACTGTGATGCCATTGCGAAGGCACAAGGCTTCGCCCTCACTGTGGGCAAGAAGAAGCCTAACGCGGCCAACCCAACCTACGTCCATCTACGCTGCTCAAAGGGCCGCAAGTATGTGGATTATGGCAATGAAGCTATCGCCAAGCGCCGCAAGACGAGCACGCAGATGACGGAATGCCCCTACCGGCTTATATTAAAGCTCGACCAGGTGGAGGGCGTGTGGTCGGTCTCTTGCTCCTCTGAAGGCCACAATCACCCCTTTATTGAGGTAATGGCCCAGGCGAAGTATAAGGTGGAGGTGGTATCTCAATACCTTCCTGAGATCATTCGGCTATATAATAATAGCTTGAGACCTGTTTTTATCACAGCACAGCTTCGTGGACGTGTTGCGATTGAACTTGCTTCTATTCTATTCTGTCTGACAGCTCTCAACATACATATATACATAGCGGCACGTCCGTGCCACTATCCAGTGACTCACCACTTGTAGGTGCTGCCTAAACATGTCTTGGTCCATGTCTCAACACTCCCCTAGAGCTGTCAGACTTTCAACTAATACAATGGCAACGCTATTCATAGCGTATGGGTCCAATTCCAATCCTCCTCCTGTTCCTCTCGAAAGCCTCCCTAGGCAGAGGCTTGGTCATCCCATCTGCTAGCATATTCTCCCCTGGAACCCAGTAGACTTGGATTCTCCCTTCCTTGACCTCATCAACGACGTGATGAAATTCTTAATTCTATATCAACATGCTTGATTTTCGACGTGTTCGATACTCCTCGGGTCAGCTGTACAGCTCCCTTATTATCTCCAAGCAGTAGTGGCACTGTTTGCTCCCCCTTTCCTTCCAGTTCTGCAAGTAGTCGACGTCCCCAGAGAGCAGCTTTGTGGCCTCCCCATCCCAACATACTCTGCTTCTGTCGTAGATCTTGCCACTGATTTCATCTTCTTGCTATACGTCATGACGGCGCCTCCGTAGACCATAAAGACGAACCCCAGGATACTCTTCCGGTCCCTTGGATCAGTAGCGTAGTCGGTGTCAGAGAACGCTTCTCCATCTTGTAGGCCTGCAGAGCCGACGTGCCCTTCGATGTTGTGGTCAATGGAATAATAGTCGATATCGCTGCCTTCGACTCCTTGTGCGTGCTCATTATTTCCGCCATATATGATACCGTGGTGAATAGTCCTGCCGACATAACCCAATATTCGTAGCAAAGCCTTCCAGTGGTTCCAGCATGCCTCTACCGTGAAAGATGCCATTCTGTTAACTGCGAATATAATGTCGAACCTCGTATTGCATAGCCAAATCAGCTTTCCGAGCAATTCCACGTATTTCAACCATTCGTCATGGTTCAGAGGCCGTCCGGTTCCTCAACGAACTTCCGTATAGCTCCAGGTTCCATGGGGGTTGCGTGCTTCATTGAGTCGTCGTAGAGAAATTCTGCCACGATTTCCTTCGCAAATTGTGATTGATCAATCATCAGCTTTCCTTTGTGCCTTTGAATCCGAATTCCGAGAATGTTCTCTGCTTCTCCGAGGTCTTTCATCTCAAATCTTCCTTCAGCTTTTCCTTGACCCGTTCAATGGCATCCTCGTCCCCCTGTAATCATAAAGTCATCCACGTGCACGCCGATGATTACCCCGACTCTGTATGTCTGAATATTGTCGGGTCCACTGTCATCGGTGAGAAACCAATCTCCTTGAGATATTCTGATATTAGCAAATACCACATCCTTGCAGCTTGCTTCAATCCGTACAAACTCTTCAGGATCTGAACGTATTTCCCGAAATATTGCTGGAGCTCAGTTGGCACTTTCATGAAGATCCTTTCCTTTAGGTCTGCTGCAAGGAACGCAGCCACAGCATCCATCTGGTATACCTTCCAGCCTTTCTTCGCCGCTAAAGCTAGAATGATCCTCATCGCATCGAGCCGGATCGTGGGTGCGAAGGTTTCCTCGTAATTGATCCCGTGTTTCTGTGTGAACCTCTCGCGACTAGACGTGCTTTATACCGTAGTATCTTCCCTTCTTTGTCTTTCTTGTGATCAAACACAAGCTTGGCATCAACTACTTCTTCTCCGTGCACGTCAACTTCGTTGATTTCCTCCGAGAATGTCTGTCGTCGAATGAGATTCTGAACTTCCTCATCTATAGCTCCTACCCATTGATCCTTCTCACTGCCTTCCATCGCCTGTCGGAAGGTAAGCTTTTTCGGGTCGAAGTCGTACAGGTCTGTATTAGGCTGGAGAAGCGTCCTTGCTACCATGGCTCTTTCCTTCCTGCCACTCTCCCCTCGCTTCTTCAGACGTTCTGCCTTGCGCTGTTCTTCTCTTTGCCGCCATTCCAGCTCTGCTCGCTGCTTCTCTGCTCTTTTGAGTGCCACGGCCTCTCGTCGAATCTGGGATCTTGTTTTCGGCAGACTCCTTTCAGCAGAGGTTATATCCGCCTCCCTGTATTGACAATGATTGTGTCTCCTTGGAGCTCTTCCTCCGAATCTGCAGTGTCTTGGTCGGTCGGGTTCCCATCCGCTGCTTCTCCGGCATCCTCCCCAGCTTCTGTAGCTTCCTGGTCCATGGTCCTATCCTGACCGAATCTTCGGCATCAGAGTCATCATCAGTGAGCTCCCTTGCTCCTTTTTCTCTTCCTTCTCATCGTCATACTGCGATTGTGATTCTTGGCTGATTTCATTGTCCATATACTTGCTCTCATCGAATTCCACGAATCGAACCTCGTGGACCTTCTTATCAGCTGGGTTCCAGACTAGATAGATTTTATCTGTCTCCTCTTTGTATCCAACAAAAACTCCTTGCCATGCTCTTTTCAGAAGCTTTGTTCTCTTTTCTTTGGGAATAAATACCCAGGCAGGACATCCGAACACTCTCAAGTGCCCTGATCTTGGCTTCTCTCCACGCCATAACTCCCATGGGCTTTTAGCCATTCCCTTGACAACTCCCCTATTTCTCAGATGCCGCTGTTGCGTTCGAAAACTCCCAGTATGCTGCCGGGAGGTCCATTTCGTGACGCATAGCAGACCCCCTCTCTGATATGGTTCTCATGCTCCTCTCAGAGATACTATTCCCCTCCGGGTGGTAGCCCACTGTTGGTTCGGTCCGAATAGCTCTCCCCGTGCAAAATACCTTCATTGCCTCGTTTAGAAACTCCTTTCCGCGATCAAAGCGCATCGCCTTGACCTTTTCGCTTTTTCCGTACTCGCGACACTCTGCCTCTGAAACAACTTCTCACGAAGAAAGTCAGCAGAAAGGTCATATTGTATTCCGTGTCTCTGTCCTCCTCCCTTTCTGCCCTAAACCCAAGCCCCTATTTATATCCCTCTTTCGTAGTAAAGGTAATGTGTTCAGGGAGGCTGGGGACCTGGGGGTTCCCAGCCTCTCGACTGAGATGTTCCAGTCTTTTAAGAGGAGCTTTCCAGCCTCCTCGTTCAGACCTGGTTATCAGCTCCTTGCTGCCCTAGCTACCCATGGGTGACCTGGTTGACTCGACCATGGGCCGTTCTTCATGACACACCCCTTAGCTGTAGCCTACCCCATAGGAACAGCTAGATCAGCCTTATAGGGCCTCCTAGACGGAGGACATCATTTCGGAATTAAGAAGGGAGAACCGTAGGACTCCTTCGCGAAAAGGGCCATGTATACGCGGCAGGGAAGTGACCTCCCAAATATTACTGAGCTAAGCCAGAGGAAATCCTCCTTTATTGCAAAGCTAGTTGGGGTTTTGCTTTCCTGCTGGCTCTGATCTTGTCAGCTAGGAGTTCCAATCGGGCTTCTCGCTGTAATCGGCTCCGTAAGTCAGCTACCCTATCATTCGGAGGAAATTTTGTAGCTTTTGAAAGGAGGGCCTTCGTAAGGCCGTCCGCTCGCATTCGGGCCGTTGGAACCCATTGGATTTTGATCCTTCCTTGTTGAGTCTCTTGACGAAGCCAATGCTGATGGATATCAACGTGTCGAAGTCTCGTAGAGAGCTTTGCACTAGCTTCTTCAAGCAGTCTGATGGTTTGTGTTGTCACACATAGGATATCAGCCTCCAACAGTCTGACCCCCTATTCGCACAGTCCGTTTCCACATTTCCCCACAGAAACTTCTAGGAGGCATCATCAACGCATCAGTGGCTTCCAGATGATCCGATCAGATGCTTCCATTCACTACCATTCCCTTCCATTCTCATATTCAGGCAGTCTATAAAGATCTCGCCTCTTTCCCACCTTATATAGCAGAATCAAGAGTCTTCCAGTCCCTGATCTTTATGCCCACTTGCTCATCCTCCGTGCGATAGTTATGAGCCCGGTCTGCCATTGACTGGGTATCTTATTCTCGTTCATTCCGCTGCGCAGAATAGCTTCCACAATGAGCTCAGCTCTAGATCTTGATGGCTCTTCCAAGGGCACCGTGCTCAACGGCCCTTGCGACTGGAAACAATGGATTTCTATCATCAAGAAATTCGCCACGTCCCACAGTCTTTGGGACTTTCTGGACCCTGCCGTCAAGGAGGGTAAGCCGGTTCTTCAGCAGCCAGTTGAACCAACATTCCGACAAATCAACCACGAAGCATCTGATCTCGTGGATCTGACCTCGGAGGAATTTCGCCGTCTCGAATTCCTCCACACCCAATACCGCTCGAAGCTTCAAGGGTATAGGGATCAAGTGAAGGCACTCGCCAGCCTTCAACAACACATCGTCAAGACCATCGGCAACTACTACAGCACCATTGCCGAGGAACACGACGTTGCAAAGCAACTTGCCTTGCTTCAGGCTCGTGTGGCCCCAACCGACTGGGCACTCGAGAGGAAGTTGTTCAGCGTTATCGTTCCACCCTTCAGTCGCCAAACAGGACCAAGATCGAAGCTTGGGTCACCCAATGGCAGAAAGTCCTCACTGAGGCAAAGCAATTAGGGCTTCCTGATGTCCAGGACCTTCGCCCTACCCAAGATTTCCTACAGGCTGTTTCGTCCATCAACGCCCCATTCACAGACTATTGGGTCAACAAAATGGAAGACGAGGCCGTATTCGGCAAGCCTGATTGGAAGACCGACTTCCCGGACGGCATTAAGATCAGTGAGATCTTTGAACGAGCTCACCGAATCAAGGCCGCCAACAACAGCAAAGGATCATTCGGAGCTGCCTTCCAAGGCAAGGAGAGAAATCGGAGAGGAAAGAGGACAAGCCTAAGTGGTCTTCAAGCAAGAACGCTGATGGTGTTCCTATGTGTGTCTGCGGAGAATATCACCGCTTCGTAGATTGCTTCTATCTCATCAAATCAGCTCGGCCTGATGGCTGGACTCCTGATCAGAAGGTTGAGAAGAAGATCAAGGAAATCCTCGACTCCAATCCATGGGCAAAGAAGATGACGGAGAAAGCACAAGACTTCAAGAAGAAGGAAATGGAGAAATCGTCCGACTCCTCCGTTAAAGGTACAGCGTTTGCCGGTCTTCTACCAGCTCCTGACAACACACCGCCTCCCTCAACACCTCCATCAACCAGTTTCTCGACGGGAAAGGCAGTCTACCCGCTGTATGACTCCTTTATCCTTGATTCCGGATCAGACACACACATTTGCAACAACCGATCCCGTTTTCTTGACTACACCGCCCTTGCAGAGCCAGAAGAGCTCTTTGCAGGCGATAGTCAACTTCAGATCCTTGGCTACGGCACAGTCCGTATGAAGCTTGAAGAAGGAGGACTTTTTCAGCTCAACGAAGTTGCCTTCGTGCCAAAATTCCACACCAACATCGCATCCTCGACCGCTTTCTTGCGAAGGGATACAACTGGAATCCACTATCTGGACGCGTCTCTAAAGACGATCAGATTATATTTCATACGAAACGCCGCTTTCGTCAACCGGTCATCGAGTTCAACCCGATTAAGGAGGACTCTCACGCCTCCAACTTCACATCTTCATCTGCACCTCGCACAGTGAAAACAGCAGATGCTACGCTTTGGCATAAGCGCCTAGGTCACTTGAACGCTCAAGCCCTAGAGCATCTTGTTGAGAACACGACGGGTTCGAAGATCAAAGGCCCAGTTACCATCGATTGCACCGCGTGTTCCCTTGGGAAGGGAAAGAAGGTCGTCTCTCGCCGAACCCCTCAAAACCGAGCCCCAGACCATTCTGGAGAATCTACGTTGATATCTTCAGTATGAACACCTCATTCAACGGCAAGGAAGCTGTTCTTCTTATCAAAGATGAATTTACAAGCATGATCTTCATCTACCTTCTGAATGACGCGACACAAGGGTCCGTTATGACTGCTTTGAGAAACCACGAGGCAATGGTTCAACGCCAATGGAATCTCAACATTTGCATTATCCACCGTGATAACGATCGTTCTCTTCAGAGTGCGTATGAGAGCTGGATCGAGGAAAGGGATTCAAGATGAACCTTCTGCCCTTACACTCCCGCTCAAAACGGTTCTGCAGAGCGATCTGGGGGTAATATCTGCCCAGGCCAGAACAATGGGAATTGATGCCAATTTACCATCTGATCTTTGGCCAGAGACTTGGAAAGCAGCAGTGTTTTTGCACAACAGATCGCCCATGCAGAACCACAGCTTCCGAACGCCTTTCCAGCTGCTTCATCAGTGGCTGCGAGACAACAACAGAGACATAGGCTACCAGCAAGACCAGCCTGACATCACGTTTCTCAAGGCATACGGCTGCAGAGCCTATCCTTGACACCCCAGGCCCTTCAGAACAGACAGAAGAAGGACCTAAAGACCGACCCTCACACAGAAATCGGTTATCTCGTTGGATATGATTCCACGAACATTTTCAGGATCTGGATTCCGTCCACATCAGAAGTCCGAAGGGTCCGAGATGTGACCTTCAATGAAAGCATCTTCTATGACGGAAATGATCAGCCACCAGAACCTATCCTGCCGCGCGTGGAAGTACAGCTTCCAGCCCACATCGAGGACGAGTCGGATTACGAGGAAATCCCCACTCAAATCGATGAACCTGAACCTGACCCCGTTGAGCAATCTCCTCAACCTCAGACCAAGGAGACGCCACCACGATTGTGGTACAACCCGAACCATCTGATCATGAGGACTCGGATGATCAGGATGAGTTTCATGACATTCAGCGCCCATATCCGACACCGGACCCCGGTCCGAGTGACTCTCAGCCACGGCGCTCAGCCCGCACTCCAAAGCCTCGCAAGCTCAGTGCTTTTTCGACCAACACTAAGGGTCAATTCCACAGCTCTTTCTTTCTCGGCAGAGAAGAAAAACTTCACAGACGACACCTTCCTCCCGAACCTACGACGTATAAGGAACTTCGCAAACACAGATTTGGTCCTCAGTTCAGAGAAGGAGCCCACGCCGAGTGGAAAGCACTCCAACAGAGAGGAACCTTCAGAGCGGTCCCCAGAGACCAGGTCACGGGCAAGCTTTTGCCACTTACCTGGGTCTTTAAGTATAAGTTCGACAAGCATGGCTTTCTTACAAAGTTCAAAGCCCGTCTTTGTGTTCGAGGAGATCTTCAACAGCTGGGTGACAAGGACACCTATGCAGCAACCCTTGCAGGACGTTCTTTCCGGATTCTCATGGCCATCACCGCCAAATTCGACCTTGAGACCCGACAGCTCGACGCAGTTAATGCCTTCACAAACGCCCTCTTAGAAGACGACGAGGAGGTCTATGTAGCCTTCCCAGACGGATACTACAGACAGGGATGGGCTCTTCGCCTCATGCGAGCCCTCTATGGCCTCCGACGGTCCCCTCTTCTTTGGCAGAAGGAACTCACTGCTGCATTCAGAGAGCTTGGTCTTACACAGTGTCCCGACGAACCCTGCATCTTCCAGAACGACTGGCTCACTGTTTTCTTCTTCGTTGACGATATTGTTTTCCTCTATCGCAAGGAAAACGAGGACGCAGCTGATGAGATGGTTGCAGCCCTCAAGAGGAAGTACGCGATGACAGACCAAGGGAATTACAATGGTTCCTTGGTATCAGAGTCCTGCGTGACAGACCCAACAGGAAGCTTTGGCTATGCCAAGACTCCTACATTGAAAGGATGGTTCAACGGTTCGACCTTGAACGGCGTGACCACTTCAGAGGAGCCCCTTCCCGTGCAACGAAGTCCAGCCGCACACAGGGCAGGCTTCTCCAGACCAAATTCAGCTATACCAGAGCAAAGTTGGATCACTGACCTACGCCGCAGCTATCACCCGCTCGGACATAGCCAAGCCAGCGTCTAAACTAGCTGAATTCCTCAACAACCCTTCCGAGCATCACTCCAAGCTCGCAGACCATCTGATCGATTACCTTTACGCCACTAGGTATCTCGCCATCCAGTTTTCAGGAAAACCCTGCCTCGACGAGGATGTTGTTCCTCAGCTCCACGCTCAACATCATAGCGATTTCCAAAGCGCATCCGACGCTGCTTTCGCTGATAATAAAGAGACTCGCAAGTCATCCCAGGGTTCAATCCTTACCCTCTTCGGTGGCCCTATTGCTTGGAAAGCCGGTAAACAGGATACAGTCACCACTTCTTCCACAGAAGCTGAATTGCTTGCTCTCACGCACACGGCAAAGGAGACTATTGCAACCTTCCGTCTCTTTGAGCAGCTCTCTCTTAAGCTTGATGGAATTCCGACGATCCAATGTGACAACCTTCAAACCATTCGTCTTGTTACACAGGATATTCCACGCCTCCGCACAGCCCTTCGTCACGTTGACATCCACACCTGTTGGGCTAGGCAGGCATTTGAGAAAGGCCTCTATAAGCTCACTTATACGCCTACTTCCCAGATGATTGCAGACGGCCTCACCAAAGCTCTGCCAGGCCAGAAATTTGCTACTTTCGTCAAACAACTCGGTCTCATCGATATCTCTACGTTGCTAGGGATCTAGTTTCTTTCTTCAGTTTGCACTGCCCACTAGCCAGCACAACCTGGGGTATGTCACACATAGGATATCAGCCTCCAACAGTCTGACCCCTATTCGCACAGTCCGTTTCCACATTTCCCACAGAAACTTCTAGGAGGCATCATCAACGCATCAGTGGCTTCCAGATGATCCGATCAGATGCTTCCATTCACTACCATTCCCTTCCATTCTCATATTCAGGCAGTCTATAAAGATCTCGCCTCTTTCCCACCTTATATAGCAGAATCAAGAGTCTTCCAGTCCCTGATCTTTATGCCCACTTGCTCATCCTCCGTGCGATATGTGTGTTATCAGATTCAAGCAACAACGGCTCTGGGATTTGAACTTGCAGAGATCGCAGCAACCGACTAATAAATATAGCTTCTTTTGCAGCTTCTGATATAGCTAGCAATTCGGCTTCGGTGCTTGACGTAGTGACTGTGGCCTGCTTCGAAGCTCTCCAAGCAATTGGTCCGCCAAATAGTGTCATGACGTAACCTTGGGAACTTTTCCTATCGATTGAGTTGTCCGCAAAGCTTGCATCGCTCGAACAGAGGAAGATCTCAGCAGCAGCCTTTCGACCCATGTTACCCCCTAGCCTAATACCATATGATCGTGTGGCGTAGAGGTAAAGGATCTGTGAGGGAACGATCATGTGACTTTCATACTTTATGAAAGGTCCCGCTTTTATTCATGTAAATAGCGAAAGTCAGAGTCTTCCTTAGGAACCTCTTTCTCTCTTGTAGACAATCACTTTACCCAAGTCGCACTCGACCTTGTTCGTGCACTTGTACCGTCACATATTGTCTACCGACTACCCTTCCTCAATAGACCACTGTCCGCGACGTGACTATTGATTTCGATACCTCTAACCTCACCAAAACACCCTGCAACCAAATTTCCACCTAAACCACCACCACCGCACCAAATTCACCAATCAACGAATCAGCAAACCAACAAACCAACAAATCACAATCGCAAAGTCAACTAAAACGTAACGAAACTGTCGAACGCCACCTGCACTATAGCCATCACCGTCAACAACCCAATGGCTACCGCTACCCCACACCCGTCGATCGAGTGCCCCCTGCCCCTCCTCAACGCCAGCAATACCGATGAAACGTTCCGAAATGCCTTTGTTGCTAACCCAGCCGGTCTCATGAAAGAAGTCTTCCTCGTATGCAATGCCGCATACAGTATGCAAGCGGTAATCGATTCACTACGTGCCTCGACCACGACGACAAATAGGGCAATGGAGGACCTCCAAACCCGCCTAGAAAACACGCTCATTTCTAAAAGTGATGGAGACGCAATGATCGCCCGTCTTATGGCAGAAAATGAAGCGTACATAAAGATCATTCAGTCAAAGGAGCTTCACACCGCACACCAGAACACCCTGATCCTGAGGCCTTCACCGGAGAGGACCCCACGCTTCTGCCGAATTTCCTCCAGCACCTCGAGTTGAAGCTCGAAATGAATAAAGATTGGTGGAACTCGGAACCTCAACGTATGGGATATGTCGTCTCATGCCTTAAAGGCAAAGCACATGACCAAGTCCGCTACAACATTAAAGATGGGGTGGTTCTCTTCGACGATGTCAATGCCATAAAAACACCCTTCAGTCAGCCTTCGGGGATATTGACGCTAAAGCTACCGCCCAACTCAAAATCTTTGACATGAAACAAGGCCATAGATCCCTTACGACATTCCTCCCCGAATGGTATGCCGTCGCCAAGCTCACCGACTGGGATAGTGGGGCGCTCATTGCTCACCTCCGACGTGCCCTCCACGACAACGTTATCTGGAGACTTTCTCTCACTAAGGGCAAAGATACTCCTACCGAAATTAGTCAATTTATGGACCTTGTCCGTATCTGCGATAACGAATGCCGTCAAGTCAATGCCAATTACTTCAAGAAAAACACCGACAACTCAGCAAGTCACAATGCAACCTTACAACCCTCCACTACGCCACAATCGACGACCTCTAACGGCGGGGATTCAATGGATTTGAGCGTCATCACCTGGGGCCAAAGATGTCGCCTCTGGTCGTAGACCCCAAACGGAAGCAGAGAGCGGCACGCAGAGCCTATTGCACAGCGCATGGACTCTGCCATTGGTGCAGCTCAGGCAAACATCGTTCCCTCAATTGCGACACCGCACCATGGAGGACGGAAAGTGTAGTCTCCGACGGAAGTCGCCGCAGGAGACGCAAGAAAAGGGCGATCTACTGCTCTCTTCTCTGGACACTAACCAAGCTCATTTGCTACTGCCTTGTAACCTAATCGAAGACAATTCCACTCTGATTAAAACCGAAGCAATGCTTGACTCAGGTGCCACTGGAAGGGGTTTGTAGACGAATCCTTCGCGCACGCCAACAAACTCACGCTTTATGAACTACGAAACCGTCGCCGGCTGAACGTAGTCGATGGAAGACCCTCCTCGGCTGGCGATATCACTCATGTGGTGAAACTCAACATGGAAATCAAGGGACACAGGAGAAGATGCTATTTTACGTAACGAAGCTTGGGAAGTACAATGTCATACTCGGAAAACCCTGGCTGACAGATCACAACCCAATCGTCAATTGGAGCACGAATGTGGTCACTTTCAACTCTGATCACTGCCGCAAATACTGCATGGAGAAAGGACAATACCAACTGCCTGTTTCTGGAGCTCCCTCTTTGTCAATTTCTGCAACCACGACTATACTGGCACGCCCATCAATCCCCGAAGAGTCGGCGCAGCCTGTTCCATATGCTGACCAAAAACCGCGACGTCGACGTATTCTCACTATCACTGTATGAGATCGACAAAAGGCTGGCTGAACTTGGAGTCATCACAGAAGCCTCCACCTTCGTAGAACCTAAAGCACGCCGAAGGGTCCGATTCGACTCTGCACTCACAGACATGGACAAGATGAACCGAGAACTCCAGCTACAGGACGGAATCACCTCCCTTGACCCCAAGGACCAACAAACACAGGAACTCCGAGCTTCCCGGAAAACGGCAGCCGATATGTACCTTTCAGGGCACCACTCGAAGACATTCACAAAGCCCTCGAACCCAAGACTTTGATCGATCCTGCAACAAAAGTACCCCAACACTACCATGAATTTTTGAAAGCATTCGACCAATCAGAAGCGGATAAACTCCCCACACCGAGACTGCGACCACGAAATTGAACTTCAACCTGGAACGACTCCACCACATGGACCTCTGTACGGGATGTCACAAGACGAACTTCTCGTCCTCCGGAAATTCCTTCAGGAAAACCTTGATAAGGGTTTCATACGCGCTAGCACCTCACCGGCAGCCTCGCCAGTGTTATTTGCAAAGAAACCAGGAGGGGCCTTCGTTTTGCGTGGACTACCGAGCTCTTAACGCGATAACCATCAAGAACCGTTACCCCTACCGTTGATCCAGGAGACCCTTTCCCAGCTAAGCCAAGCCAAGTATTTCACCAAACTCGATGTCGTCGCAGCGTTTAATCGAATCCGCATCAAGGAGGGTCAGGAATGGATGACGGCGTTCAACACAAGATATGGTCTCTTCGAGAGCATGGTGATGCCTTTGGACTATCAAACGCCCCGCTACCTTTCAAGCTCGAATTAACGAAGTCTTACGCCCATTCCTTGATAGATATTGCACGGCCTACATCGACGACATTCTCATCTACTCAGACGACCTTGCCACCCACAGACTCCACGTCAAATCAGTACTCCAAGCACTTGAAGCCGCAGGCCTACAACTTGACGTCAAGAAATGCGAATTCGAGACTACTGAAGTCAAATACCTGGGCATGATCATCTCAACCACTGGAGTACGGATGGACCCAGAGAAAGTCAACTGTCTCATCAACTGGGAGGCCCCTATCAATGTCAAAGATGTCCAAGCCTTTTTAGGATTCTCAAATTTCTACAGACGGTTCATCAAGGGATTTTCACGCATCGTACGACCACTTGTTGCCCTGACACGGAAGCTAGTCAAATGGAACTGGACTTCATCTTGCCAAGAAGCATTCGATATGCTCAAAAATAGCTTCACTTCAGCGCCAATCCTCAGACACTTCGACCCCGCAAGAGAAGTGTTTGTCGAATGCGACGCGTCCGATTTTGTGTCTTCGGGTATTCTCTCCCAGGAAGACGATCAGGAGTGCTACACCCAGTGGCTTTCATGTCCAAGAAGTACGACCCCGCTGAGTGCAATTACGAGATATATGACAAAGAACTTTTGGCTATTGTACGCTGCTTCGAATGCTGGAGACCCGAACTCCAAGGCACACACCACCAGATTACAGTCATCACTGACCATGCCAACCTTCGATATTTCATGACAACCAAGCAACTTTCAAGACGACAAGTCAGGTGGAGCGAATTCTATCACAGTTCCAATTCGCTATCAAGTCAGTGCCTGGGAAAGAGAACGGAAAGCCTGACTCACTCACACGGAGATCACAAGACTTACCGAAAGATGAAAATGACGACCGCATCCAGTACCAACAACAGTCGCTGCTTAAGCCTTCCAACATAGACTCCTCTGTACAAGAACAACTAAGGCTTGACCCCGAGCTCTCAGAGCTCTTTGCAAATCTCTCCTGGGAACAAGAGATTGCACTATGTCCCGCCATTCTTGACGAAATTCAGCCAGAACCAATCAACCACAAAATCACAAGACTTCTAGACAAGGGCTATGAGGAGGACGAATGGTGGATGAAAATCAGGACGAGATGCTCAAACCCCATGGAATTCCCCACTCAAAGGAAGTTTCTCTATCGGAATGCATGATAAACGAAGGCCGATTATATTTCCGAGAGAGGCTATACGTACCCGCAGGCGAACTACGGACCCTTCTCACTCAACTCGCCCATGACAGCGTCGAATCAGGCCACCCCGGGAAAAACAAGCTATATGTTGGATCCACCTGTGCACTAGGCACCGATCGCGCACGTATAACTAATCGACCGCGCTAGTCACGTGCGAGTAA